CCATACTTTTGCAAAAAACTGCTTAGTTGTTTTCGTTTCAGGAAGATAGGTAATCATGTATAGAATCATGCTATCAGAAAATAATTCCTTGCGGAATCGTATGGTAGACTCCACACGAAAAAAACAGAATTTTCGAAAATATTGTTTTTCGATACTTTTGCAAAAAACTGCTTAGCTGCTTTCGTGTCAGGGAGATAGGTAAATATGTGTAGAATCATGATATCAGAAAATAATTCCTTGCGAAATCGTATGATAGACTTCACACGAAAAAAACTGATTTTTCGAAAATATTTTTTCCATACTTTTGCAAAGAACTGCTTAGCTGCTTTTTGGTCAGAAAGATAGGTAATCATGTGTAGAATTATGCTATCAGATGATAATTCCTCGCGGGATCGTATGGTAGACTCCACACGAAAAAAACAGATTTTTCGAAAAAAAATGTTTTCGATGCTTTTGCAAAAAACTGCTTAGCTGCTTTTGGGTCAGGAAAATAGGTTATCATGTGGAGAATCATGCTATCACAAATATTTCCTTGCCAAATCGTTTGGTAGACTCCACACGAAAAAATCAGATTTTTCGAAAATATATTTTTTTTCGATACTTTTGCAAAAAACTGCTGAGCTGCTTTTGGGTCAGGAAGATAGGTATTTATGTGTAGAATCATGTCAGAAAATAATTCCTTGCCAAATCGTTTGGTAGACTCCACACGAAAAAAACTGATTTTTCGAAAATATTTTTTTACATACTTTTGCGAAAAACTGCTCAGCTGCTTTTGGGTCAGGAAGATAGGTAATCATGTGGAGAATCATACTATCAGAAAATAATTTCTTGCGGAATCGTATGGTAGACTCCACACGAAAAAACCTGATTATTCGAAAATATTTTTTTTCGATACTTTTGCAGAAAACTGCTTAGCTGCTTTTGGGTCGGGAAGATAGGTAATCATGTGGAGAATCATTCCGTCAGAAAATAATTCCTTGCGGAATCGTATGGTAGACTCCACGACACGAAAAAAACCTGATTTTTCGAAAATATTTTTTTCGATACTCCTGCAAAAAACTGCTCAGCTGCTTTCGTGTCAGGGAGATAGGTAATTATGTTTAGAATCATGCTATCAGAAAATAATTCCTTGCCAAATCGTTTAGTGGACTCCACACGAAAAAAACAGATTTTTCGAAAATATTTTTTTTACATACTTTTGCAAAAAACTGCTGAGGTGCTTTCGTGTCAGGAAGATAGGTAATGATGTATAGAATTATGCTATCAGAAAATAATTCCTTGCCAAATCGTATCGAAATCATAATCTAGTGCTTAACCAAACCCAGCAATATATAATTGCCACTGTTGTCAACTTTCCTCCGATGAAGTACTTTCGCATGTATTTATGATATTTTCGTGTCCGGACTGGCCCGGAGAATTATGAATCCTACCCGGAGCCCGTAGGACTCCTACTGAAACCCGGAGACTCTGGGTTGAATTTTGAGAGGTGGCAACAAGAGGTGAACATAATATGTAATTGGAGTAGTGTGATGATTGATGATATTTCACATCACCTTGCCAATTGATGATATTCAATAGAGAATTAAATTCGAATCTCGCAGATATGAAATATTGTCTTTTATATTATCAAGAAAGTCACTATATCTCCAACATCATAGAACCTAAAAGATATATAGAATAATAATTGATGTATATCTACCAATTCCTGTATAATTTCAAATGATTATTCCATATTATAACCTACGCTATAATAACTTATTAGAGAATCGAACTAAGTGAATATTGAACTCGGTAGGAAACAATCGTATAACATGTTCTAGTGATTATAGTTGTTCTAGAACCATAGAATATGAATCTATCAAGTGAAATCCTCTGAAGATTATCGAGTTCCCTCTTGATAAATCTTTCAAGAGTTGATTTTTCATACTTATTCTTTTTGGTATTCATGATACTTCTGAATTCTTTTATTCGTATCTATCCACCATCATATCAATAAACGATCACTTCGTATATTCAGAGAATTCGAAAATATTGAAGGGTGGTAATACCTGAATTTACTGAATGGACTTATATCGCAAAAAATTTTCATTTCATTATTCGATAGAACTCACCCAAACTAGCTCACCACCGCAAACCGTTTCTTGCTGTGAGCTCTCTACGTTTTATATAAAATTATTGAAATCCCCGATTTTTCGGACCTCTGAAAACGAGGCGATGATGTGACGTCATAACCCTAATACTGAAACAAGACTATTCCAGACAGAGATGAATGATACATGATTATTGAGTGAATCAGCGCGAGATCACAGTTGAAAGAATCAATATATCAGTTGCCTCAGTCTCCGTCGGGCGTTTGGTATTTTCATTTAACTATGGCGGGATGAGGTTTCTACGTCATAAGAGGGTCCGTTTTCAGAAGGTACTATTATTTATATCCAAAAATAAAACATTCCAGTTAATTTTTCGATCGAATTATGTCGTCAATCATTATTTACGTATAAAAGGATCATTATAAACATGGTTAGAGTTGAAAGTTCTACTAAGGTATACACGCCCATTCTTTCTTATTTTTCTATCACCTTGAAATCACCTGGAAATATTCGGTATTACTTTATAAATCTAGTCGTTTTTTTTAGAAGCGAATATTATTAGTTTTCATCCACCCTTTCGTCTACAGAAAATTGAATACAACCGGCAACGTTCGCACAAGATAAGTTTATTTCTCTAGCTCCCTTCCTTCCCCTCCACTACCATGGCAATGGCCAATGCATCTTAGCCCCTACCACAGCCACAGATCACCATTACAGCCTACCCTGTCCCTCTCCAGACCACCAGTCGGTGTTGCCAGTTTTCCCATTTTGTGGGGATTTTCAGTAGGTGAAAATGAAAATCTCATTATGGGATGATTTTTCATTTCCTGATTGAAATTAGAATATCATTGTTGAATTGGTCTACTTATATTGTTTTGTCTTTCCCGAAAAAACAAAAAAAAAATAAAACACGAAAACATGGAATTTGTTCACATTGTTTTTCATTTCATTACCGGTTGAAATTTCTATTGTGTTAGTGAAACTTGATACAAAAATTGATAGGTATTTCTCACACCTCATCTGGAAATCATCTCAAAACACCGTGGGAAATAAAGGAGTCTCAAGTTCGAGAATTTAGGTTAGGAGAGGATATGGCAGCACTGCTGCAAAAATTGAGAATCTTGGTATAGTGTAATACGTATGAGAATTGCTTATATTGCTGAACCAAAGAGCTGAACTGCCCACTAGGAGTGCTTTCTATCATTCTATCGTGTACGCTGTGTCGGAAGGCTTTGAAAATGTAAGTTTCATTTATTGGATACCTATTTAACTAGACTATAGCGTATCGAGGTCATTATTGTGAAATAAGCCTGGAAGAAGGAATTTCGTGCTAGCGAAAAATTTTGATGGAGAATGGCAATTCTTATTATTGAAATTATTTAACCACAAGAAGGTGTTCTTCAACAATTTCACCACCACGAAGCGATCTCTTTTCGACACCCGGACATTTTGCGCTGGCCCATTGTCGTGTGTCCAGTGATTTTAAAATGTCCAAAGGAATTGCACTAGGCTTCAAGTGAGTGTTATATATCCATTTCGATTGCCTAACATAACGACATTCAATTTTTAGGCGACGGTATGGCAGAGTTGACCAGCTCCTCCGCCAAAATCAGAGGCCGGGGGGATTCGCCCATCTCTTCGTCGAAGGACGGCACATTTTTTATATTATAACGCTTTTTTGAAAAGCCAGACTATCGCACAATTTTTCTTTCTCTCCATAGATTGAGAGATTTCATTGAGGAAAATGGCATTAGTAACCTGGCAATTCCCAAATTATGTTGTGAAGGGATAAAAAAAATGGAAACTTATGAAACCCATGATAAATTTCTTGTTCCGTAATAAGAATCGCCACATACATTCCTATGAGTGATTTTCCTACTCACAACAGCTAGTGATATTATTTCGATCAGAACTAACTGAAATATTTCACATTGAACTGAACAGAATCAGTCAACATGCGTTCTATCGAAAGATTTCAATTCCATAGAATGCATATGTTAACTATAGTTCCGTTAAGTTCCTATGGTTCCAGTGAAATCATTCAGTTAGTTCAGGATGAAAGAATATAACTAATAGTGGTTTTATGATAGGGCTAACGGCGAACCTTCCACTAAAAAATAAAGGTAACGAACCCGTGTCAGAGCAACTGGTAATGGGCTGAAATTCGAGATTCTATAATATATTCTATAATAATTTCAATTGAACATAACTTGTGTAAAAAATGATAAGCTCTGGCGGCAATACCTCTTGGATGATTTTGGAAAGTTGCCATTATCAATAATAGTACCTATACCTAAGTATATAATGATTTATAATGAATTATTCAAGATTTGTTCGAGAAAACGAATTATTTTCTGATAGCATGTTTCTACACATGATTATCTATCTCCCTGACCCGAAAGTAGCCGAGCAGTTTTTTGCGAAAGTATCGAAAAAAAATATTTTCGAAAAATCTGTTTTTTTCGTGTGGAGTCTACCATACGATTTGGCAAGGAATAATTTTCTGATAGCATGTTTCTCCACATGATTACCTATCTTCCTGACCCAAAAGCAGCTAAACAGTTTTTTGCAAAAGTATCGAAAAAAAAATACTTTCGAAAAATCTGTTTTTTTCGTGTGGAGTCTACCATACGATTCTGCATGGGATTATTTTCTGATAGCATGATTCTACACATGATTACCTGTCTCCCTGACCCGAAAGCAGCTGACCAGTTTTTTGCAAAAGTATTGAAAATAAAATATTTTCGTAATTTTAGTCTTTGCATAGGTACATACCTACCTATGATTTTCATCGCCGAGGCTCATCATCGCAAACAGAAGAAATTGAGGAATTTCGATATTCCCTACTCAAAAAGGGGGGAAACGTGTGCCACTGGTCAATCGGGAAAGTTCGGAAATTCTGGCAGCCAGCTTTGACAGCCCACTTCACGTAGGTAATTCCATCCAACCTCAAAAAAGTCCGACTTATTTTACAATTTTTACATTTTACCATCTGTTTACATTTTAACAAGTTTACGATCTTCATCATTTCACAAATACATCATACTAAAGTGTTCTTGTGATATTATTATTCCTAGTATTAAATGGTTCTATTAGAAAATGATTCAGTAAGTTCTTTGGCAATCAAATTTTTTAATTTATAGAGACAGGTTGAATACTTATTACCCTACCAACAAAGTTACAGTGCATAATTTATTCATCAAGCCTATTAATTTTTTTGTTTCAGTTTCTCTCAGAACTTACCAAACTGTTTCAGAAAGCTCGGCTGAATGGGTCCGTTACAATGACTTTTAAAAGGTGTAAGTTAATTTTGTAGAACAAAGAGTTATTTCAGTTATTCATGAGTTATACAATTGCAACTACCATAGACCAACATCACAAACTACATTACCACATCAGTAGTTGAAAGGAAAGGAATTCAATTAGCATGAAGAGAACTTTCTTCATTGAGCCAGCAAAAAAAGGCAGTCTCAGAAATCACAAAATTCTAGCTGCATGCACAGGTTGAATCACAAGTACAGTACTGAAAAACCTAGAGTTTCCTAATGGATTCAACATTGTTTAATACCTAGTTGGAGTAGGAGAATCAGACATAACTTTGAAAACCACTTGCCTAACTATAAATAATTTCAATTTCCAAAGGAAGGGCTTTTGTTCCTTGACAATCATCATGTTCAGAGTACAGTACAGATTATATTTTCCTCAGTCTCATTGCTATCTGGCGTCTCATCAACAAAGAAAGAAAGAGTAACTAAGTCTACTTACCAGATGAAGTGGGACAGCCAAAAAATTGTCTAATTTTGATAAGCTATAACTCGAAAGTTTCTTGGCCAATATTGGATTTTCAACCAAAGGTAGAAAGCGTCATCCTTGAGCTATGCATCATTGGCGTCAGGTTTCTATTTTTGCGATTTGTTCTCTTTGTACAGAGTGTGAATTAAGAGCCAGAAAAATTTCAAATGTTTGACCAATAATTTGGGAAATGTGGGGGATCCTAGAATTCTTTTTCAGATGTTGGGTGAATGGTTGGTCGGATACCTCGAGACGTCTTTGAAATTATTTGGATTAATTGCATTGCTATGGAAAAATCGCCATTTTATGAAATATCATTTTTAATTTAAAATGTGGCTTCTTTTAGTTAAACAATAAAAGCCAACACCTGAACTGCAACAAGAGATATTTCAACTGAAGATAATTAACACCAGTGCCGTGCAAAAAGGGGTTTATGATATTTAGAAACGAAAAATTCGTTTTCATTGAAAGACTTGAACAGTTTTATTGATCGTTACAGTTGAAGAGGTGCCATATCCTTAATGTTGAAATATATAGAACACACTGTAACTTCAAGCAAACCTGTCAATATTATTGATATACTTTTCATGTCTAGTCTAGAAGGCAAAAATAGAGTTGTCATGGAAGTTGTTAAAACAAAAATAACAGTTCAGTTGAAAGAATAAAAAATTCTGTATGATGTTCTTGATGAAGAATTAAATGTATAAAAACACACTCTTGTATAATCGTTCCAAACAATTCTTAACATTGGTTATGTGCCCAGATGAAAGAAGAGTGTGTTCAAATTGAGGAAAGTAAAAGTTGAATAATTGGGTCGAAGCAAGAAGATTGAAATAAGAAGAGAAGGAAAAATGGAATCAGGAAATGAAAATAAATATGGGATTGCTCCTTTCCGTGGAAATGGATTTGATAATTGGAAATTCAGATTGTATTCAGTAATGAGAGCTATGGAATTAAGTGAAGTTCTGAATGGAGCAGGAAGCAGTCAAAGAGATGAAAATTGGCACAAGAAAAATAATAAAGCATGTATGGTAATAATACAGAGTATAGCAGATTCACATTTGGAGTACATCAAGGAAATTGATATGGCTTTTGATATGATAAACAAGTTGGAAAGAATTTTCACTAAGAAAGGTACCTGTTCAAAGTTTTATTTATTGAAAGAGATAACAAGTCTCAAGTATAGTTATAATACTGATTTACAAGATCATTTTTCTAAATGTGACAGAATATTTAGAGAATTGAAGAGTTTAGGGAGTAATTTTGATGAATCAGATATATCCTGTTTTCTCCTGCTTTCAATGCCTAATGAGTTTGAAAATGTGGTGACAGCTATCAGAACAATGTCAGAAAATGATTTGAAGTTAGAATTTGTGAAAAGTAAGCTATTAGAATTCGATATGAATGCTAATTCGAACAAATTTATGAAAGATAATGTAGCTCAGTCATTTGCGGCCACACAGAAACAAGTTAAATGTTTTAAATGTGGAAAAACGGGCCATACGAAGAATGTTTGTGGCATCAAATGTTTCATTTGCAATAAATTTGGTCACCGTTCAGTACAATGTTATCATAACAGGAGAAAAGAATCAAATAGAAGTAATAAAGCCAATTATGCTGAGGGTGAAGGCGAGGCTTCAGGTGTGTCAAAGTCAGAAGATGAAGATGTTGCTTTTTCTGCTATGTCCAGTCAGTTTTCTAATAAAAGAAAATTTGCAGAACCAAGATCGATACAGCTAGCAGAAAAAGGAAAGTTTATGGAGGCAACATGTGTAGGTGATGTAGAGGTAGTGAGTCAGGTGAAGAATAAAAAGATACCAATTACTTTGAAAAATGTATTGTGTGTTCCAGGGTTAAGGGTAAACTTATTGTCAATTTCTGCTATTGAAAAAGCTGGTTTTGAAATCTATTGTTCAAAAGGCAAAATTATTATTAAGAGAGGTGAAAATGAATATGTTGAGGGTGATCGCACAAATAATTTGTATAAAATATGTTTTGATGTCAAAAGTAATGAATATGCAAATTTAGCTGAAACTAAAGAACTGTGGCATAAAAGATATGGTCATTTGAATTATAATTCCATATCAAAAATCAGAAATATGAATTTGGTTGATGGTTTACATTTTACAGAGATGAAAAATGATGAAATTTGTGAAATTTGTGTCAAATCTAAACAAAAATGTTTTCCATATTACTCAAAAGTATCAAGATCAAGTAGAGTTTTAGAAATGATACACACAGATGTATGTGGTCCTATCACACCAATATCTCGTAATGATAATAGATATTTTGTTACTTTTGTGGATGATTTTTCTAGATTTGTAATGGTTTATGTTATTAAAAGTAAAGATGCAGTTTTTAATTGCTTCAAAGATTATGAGTCCAAAGTAACGTCACAGTTTTGTGGTAAAAAGATATTTAAACTAAAGTGTGATAATGGAGGTGAATATCGATCAAAGTTATTGTTAGATTTTTGTGCAGAAAAAGGTATTCATATTTCTTACACTCCACCTTATACTCCTCAACTCAATGGAGTTGCTGAGAGAATGAATCAGACTCTAATGAATCTAGCAAGATCAATGATAATGCAGGCTAATGTAAATAAGTTTTTTTGGGAGGATGCTGTGCTAATGGCAGCCTATCTAGCAAATAGAACACAGTCTTGTTTGATTAGAGAAAAAACGCCCTATGAATTGTGGCTGAATAAAAAACCAAATGTTTTAAATATGCGTGTTTTTGGCTGCATAGCTTATGCTAGAGTTCCTGATGCTTTAAGAACGAAGTTAGATGATAGAGGAGTTAAGTGTAGATTTATTGGGTATACAGACAGTGGTTATAAGTTATGGCAAGAAAATAAAAATAAATGCATTCACTGTAGAAATGTTGTATCTGATGAAAATAATTTTTTATATAAAAAAAGTAATGAAGTTGAGAGTAAGAGAAATGCAAATCAGGAAGTACAAGAGTGTGATAGTGTAATAGATTTTGATCTTGAAAAAAGAGATGATGATAATGATGTTGATAATATTGAGAATGAACTTCTGAATGAGCCTAATGTGATTGAAGTGCCTGGTAATAATGAAAGAAATCAAGAAAATGTTAGGTTGAAAAGAGAAAGAAAAATTCCATCTAGATTTGATGATTTTGAAATGAATATGAGCTGTTTAGCATTGCTAAGTGAATTTTCAGATAGTCCCAAGTCATATTCAGAAGCTAAAGGTGGGTCAAAGTGGGATAAGTGGGAAAAAGCAATTGAAGATGAATTAAATGCATTAAAAGAAAATAAAACATGGGAACTTGTTGACCCATCAGGTTATGAGGAAATAATAAGTAATAGGTGGGTTTTCAGAGTTAAAGAAAACGATGAGAATAAACCTGTATATAAGGCACGATTGGTAGCGAGGGGTTTTGAGCAGAATAATATTGATGATCTTTCATCAATACATGCTCCTGTTGCAAGACTTTCGACAATGAGAATTTTCTTAACTATTGTGACTAAATATAATCTGTTTCTAGAACAATTGGATGTCAAAAATGCATTTCTCAATAGTGACATCAAAGAAAAAGTGTATATGAAAATTCCAGAGGGTCTCAAAGTTTCTGAAAATGATAAAAATAAAGTGTGTTTATTGAAAAGAGCCATTTATGGCTTAAAACAAGCCCCTAAGGCATGGAATGAAAAATTCAATAGTTTCATGACAAATTTACGTTTTGAGAGATCAAAATCTGATTATTGTTTATATTCTTTTCTTGGAAGTGATATACGATGTTACTTACTCCTCTATGTAGATGATATCCTGATAACTTGTAATGACAATAATTTTATGAGCTATTTGAAAGAAAAGCTGTTTGAAAGTTTCAAGATGAGGAAAATGAATAGTAGCAGCCAGTATAACTTTTTAGGAATAAGAATTTGTAGAAATCCAGACAATAAACAGATGACTCTTGATCAATATTCAGCAATTCTAAATATAATCAAAAAGTTCAATGTAGAAAACTGTAAAAATTTCAAAACACCTATGGAAATTAATTTGAATTTGGAAAGGAATTCTAATTCAAATGATCATACTGTATTACCTTATAAAGAACTTTTAGGTAGCCTTATGTATATCATGATGGGCTCACGGCCTGATATTTGCTTTAGTGTTGGTTATTTTGGAAAATTTCAAGATTGTCCTACTGATGAGCATTTCAAGCATCTTTTGAGAGTATTGAAATATCTAAAATCAACTATTGATTATAAATTGCACTTCTATCATTCTGATAATGAGTTAGTTTGTTATAGTGATGCCGATTGGGCAAATGATGTTAATGATAGAAAGTCTATAAGTGGTTATTGTTTCAAACTATTTGATAATTTGATTAGTTGGAGTTCTAAAAAACAAAATATTGTAACACTGTCAAGTACTGAATCAGAATTTGTTGCAGTTTGTAGTGCATCTTGTGAGTTAATTCACATAAAGAATTTGTTGAATGATTTGAAAATTGATGTTTCTCTCCCAATTCAGTTATTTGAAGATAATCAAAGTACCATCAAACTGCTTCAAAATTTTGAAAATAATAAGAGATGTAAACATTGATGTCAAACTACATTTTATTTTAGATTTGATCAGTCAAGGAATTATTAAAGTTGATTATATATGTACAAATGAACAATTAGCTGATGTGTTTACCAAATCTTTATGTTATGATAAGTTCAGTCGATTTGTGAAATTGTTGAATGTGAAAAATTGAAAATCTAAAATCTATTTTTATAGACTGCCAGGTTTGGAGGTGGGTGTTGAAATATATAGAACACACTGTAACTTCAAGCAAACCTGTCAATATTATTGATATACTTTTCATGTCTAGTCTAGAAGGCAAAAATAGAGTTGTCATGGAAGTTGTTAAAACAAAAATAACAGTTCAGTTGAAAGAATAAAAAATTCTGTATGATGTTTTTGATGAAGAATTAAATGTATAAAAACACACTCTTCTAGAATCGTTTTAATCAATTCTTAACACTTAATTAGCATGATGTTGACAAATTCAGAGGTGCGCAAAAAGGAGTTTATGATATTTAGAAACGACAAAAACTTTCTATTGAAAAACATCAACAAGATTTTTCGAAATTTTTTCTGACAGAATTATCAAATTGTACGGCTCGGAAAACATCAGAAGCCAGAATTACGTTCCTGAATTTTCATTCATGAATAATGATATAAGAAAATTTTCACTGGGGAACAAAGAATAACACTTGATAAAATTATTAAAAATGTTTCTATATCAAACTTTTTGCATCGCCTTGATGATGGATCCTCTTCAATACGCCAATGGATTACTTGGATGCTCACCTTGGATAAGTAAAAAAACAATGATAATGAGACTGAAATTCTGATTTTCCAATTTTGCACACCTCTGAATTTGTCAACATCATGCTAATTGAATGTATGGCAACTTTTTACCTGTGACGATCAATGAAACTGTTGATTTTTTTCAATAAGAACGTTTTTGTCATTTCTAAATATCATGAACCCTTTTTTTGCGCGCCTCTGAATTTGTCAACAACATGCTAATTAAGGATATGACACCTCTTCAACTGTAACGATCAATAAAACTGTTGAATTTTTTCAATACAAACGAATTTTTCGTTTCTAAATATCATTAACCCCTTTTTGCGCGCCACTGGTGTTAATTATCTTCAGTAGAAATATCCCTTGCTCCAGTTTAGATGTTGGCTGTTATTGTTTAACTAAAAGAGGCCATTTCTCGAATTGAAAATGATATTTCATAAAATGGCGATTTTTCCATAGCAACGCAATTAATCCAAAATATTTCAAAGACGTCTCGAGGTATCGGACCAACCATTCACCCAACATCTGAAAAAGAATTCTAGGGTCCCCCACATTTCCCAAATTATTGGTCAAACATTCGAAATTTTTCTGGCTCTTAATTCACACTCTGTACAAAGAGAACGAATCGCAAAAATAAAAACCCGACGCCAATGAAGCATAGCCCAAGGATGACGCTTACTACCTTTGGTTGAAAATCCAATATCGGCCAAGAAACTTTCGTGTTATAGCTAATCAAAATTAGACAATTTTTTGGCTGTCCCACTTCATCTGGTAAGTAGTATGATTATTGAAAATATTTCATTGACAATATTTCATTGACAAGTTATGAAGAAGTAGTAATGACCTTGTTAATGCCTACACAATATTGAATCTAGGTGTGACTACCATTTGACCATGTCATCCAAATTGGAACAACCATAGATCATATAGGAGATATAACAAAACTACAGTCTAGTTTAAGAGGATCAAAATTGTGAATTTTAATGTTCAGATAATGACAAATTTCATTGAAATGTCTATTCAAAATTTGCAGTAATGGTCATTTGTATAGAAATTTCAATGAAGTGTGTAAGATGTTTTTCAAATGCAACAGTTGGCCATAATTTAGTTTTTCAAAACAGTGAATTTAACCCCAAATTTTTGTGGGAACAAGATTGATTTAATCCAAAATCTATACCTACCTCTGAAGTAATAGTTGTGAATTTTCCAGAGAATTGTGCTTTCATACTATTATAATATGTGTATTTTTTTTAATTGACTGGGCCGTTACTTGATGGAAATCCATGGCAAATGTAAAAACTTCACAAACGATAAGATTTCCATGAAATTCTTCAACACACAACATGTTTCACTAACACAGTAGCTTCATCAGGTGATATACTGGTACAATGAACTAGTTCACCTAGGGAAGCTACTGTGTTAGCAAACCATGATATGTTTAACAAATTTTGTGGAAATCTTTTGTGAAGTTTTTACACAATATGTGTAATTTTATCATGTCAAACAATGTGATAATGTGGAACCTTCTTGTATTGAAATCATTATTTTTTTCATTATTTCAATAAAAAGCTGGTGATGGACAATTTGAAAAAGTCATGGACATGACATATAATATAAAATAATGTTATACAGGGTGTTTCTTAAGTACGTGTAGAAAGGAGCATGTTGCTGACGTCAAAATAAGAAGGAAAGTTATTCGTTTCTGAGATACAGAGTGTCAAAGTTGAATTTTTATTTTTTGTTGATGAATTTCAAAATAATTGTGATATTCGAATAAAGTTGGGTATCTAGGGGTATTTTTCAATAACAATATTGAATTTTATGTTAATTTTTCTCTTTCTTGGGGGTGGCGCCACCTGCATGTCTTTTGAGTTTCTTGAGAATTCATAACTTTTTTGTGCAAACCTGTAACACGTTTCATAGTGGTTATATAGATTTCTAGAACACTTGTGTGTAAAAAATATATTCTTGGTAGGGGTCACTCTGTGAGCAACTGTTTTTGAGTTATTGGGATTTGAAATAATCTATGCATTTGAATTATTTCCATAGGGCTCGTGAGATTTTGCGCAATTTTTCTCGTGCTTGTCTGTGGATCTTCGATTGCCAGAAGAACAACTCTTTCAATTTCTGGAGTAACAGTAGTCAACGGTCTGCCTATCACTGGCGCTTTTTTAAGGGACTCTATAAGACGCTTTTGAATGTCTGATGATTCGGCAGTCGATGATTAGGGAATCTTTCATCTGCTGTTATTTTTTTAAATTGTAAGAGTCCAAGAAAGTAGGTACAAAGAAGTGAGAATAATCTCTTGCTGATATTCCAATGTTGAATGTAGAAGAATCTTTTCTAATATTTACTTACTTCTTAGAGGCGACTAACGAGCTCAGTTTAAGAGCTAAAATAATCCAACCGCGAAGTTATCGATGTATATCGAATATATTTTGAAGTACTTATAGTATGACTACTGAATATTGTATTTCTTCAAATATTGAAGTTTTGTTGGTTTCAGATGATGGAAGAACCCGTCCAACTCCAAGACCAGGCAAACCTCCTTTACCTGAACCTCAAGAGCACATGTGTTTAGTAAGGGCAAAGTTTCGGTCCAGTAAAATCGCCACAGTAATACACCAAAAAGATGTTAATAAATTCCAAGTAGCTTACAGTAGCTTACTTAAGGGTAATATAGATGGTTTGAAAAAATTGAAGAAACCTAAAGCTAAAACGAAAGCTGAATAGTTGGTTTATTCAATGCATTTTTTTGTTATATTTCCTTTATTGTAATTATATTCTCGGGTATTGGTGTGTTCGACTGGATTTAAATATGTTTTGTTTATTAAAATAATATTTGATACAAAGTGTTTTATATGTCCAATGATCACTTATTAATAAATCATTCAGTATTTTGTGATATTTTCGTTACTGATGAGTCGCAGTAGAGTTCAAGAGCCTATACCTATTTAGGCAGCTCTGAAAAGTATGTACAGGTTGTATGACTGCAATAGTCTTTACAAAGTAACTTGGGACAAATTAAAAAAACATCGCCGGTGGAAACGCGGTCCGTTTAAACTGTTCGAAGGGACCAACGGATGCGGGCAATCTCTTTTGATCAAGCTATCTCGGGTGACTTTGTAAAAAATATATCTCTTGTGATATTCTGTATGTTGTACCAGTTCTGAAATCATGATGTTGGGGATGCAAACCTACGTACCGAACACTGCAAGGAGAACATCTCCCGATAAGGCCTGGTCCAGCAGAAACTGCTCTAGAGCTGTCGCTTCCAAACAGGCATATGCAATGTGACAATTCGATCATCAAAGGATGCTGATAATGCCAAAATAAGATCAAAACTTGTGGAATGTCCTAACAGATCCCGTTCATTTTGGTCCTTCGTCAAAGCTGTAGGAAGAAACTTCACTTCCAGCTCGTTTCCCCCTCTAACCAAGGAAGCCAATATTTTTGCATATTTATTTGCTGGAAATGCCACTCTGAATTCATCGGGAAAACAACCCTCAAACATAACGCCTATTGGTATTGACACTCTTATGCCCGAGATCGAGGATCCATACTGCGTTCTATTCCATAATTCCTATTTCTTCCCATGGAACTCTATACAAGAACTCACGACGAAAGCAGGTCAACGCTGTCAATGAAGATCTTGCTGAAATAGCAGCCTGGGGAACCAACAACCTAGTTGAATTTAACGCCACCAGAACTCAAGCCTGTATTTTCTCTAGGAAGGCGGAACTCAGTATGCCTGATATATCAATGTCTGGTACCACTCGAGTTACCACTATTCCGACAAAATCCACTATATCTATGCTCGATATTTCCATCAGCATTATTCTTTCATGAGAAAATCATGTTGGATCTATCGTGTAAGCTGCTTCACAAAAACTCGGGTTTTACTCCGTGCGAAAATCTACTGACGAGCTCGACAAGCCCTGTCATCACATCCTTTCCTCGTCAACCTTGGAATATGTTGAACAACTCTTTACTAAAACTCATTTGTCATTAGAACGTCAAAGATTTTGAATTATTTGCCAAATGAAGTATTCTATTCGCAAGAACAATATAAACTCTAAAAGTTAAAAAAAAATTCAAACACCTACTTCCTCTCCCAATCCTCCCTGAGTGCGCACACAATGTTCTCCGAACATTATTGGGGTTCCCTTTCGTGCGCTCCAAGAGATAAGAAAGGTGGAACCACGGTGGAATTATAGTATGGTGTGCTACGACGCATCTTCGTATACGTCACTGCGAGTAAAAAAAAAGTAGCACATCATATTATATTTCCACCATGGGAGGAACTTTTATTTCAAAAAATTTAGCGATACAAATGAGGTGATATATCTATATTTTTCTTCAAACATTTTTCAAAACAAGGTGTCACTGACAATCGATTGGATTTTTCTTTTAGGCTCACTGTTACAATGCATTGTTGATGAAAAATCTTCATTTCGAGACCTACCAGCGTAATCCAGTGGCTTTAAGTGGGTACTGGATATATAGAACGATACTGGATTATGATTAGCATAGAATCCACTCTGAAGGCACACTAGACTCAGAGTAGTACAAGATATGTCGAAATATGATCATTTCCTTGAGTCTTCAAAATGACATATATTGTGAAAAACACAATAAGTTTTCTCTCAAGGCTTCACCACAGCTGCTGCACAAGATGGCTATTCTATTTTGACCGTTTCGAAATATCCAAATACTGCAAATTGAAAAGTCCTATTATAGTTAGGTACATGCTACATTCAAGATATAATAGATATAATAATAAAGACGTCCCTGTCTGCCTGTCCCTGCAAGCAGCTTGAGTGTGGTATGCATCTCTTCCCGCTCTACATTCTGTGATCCCTGGGATTCCCAGGTCTTCCACGAGTTCCACGGCACGCTTCAATTCAGTTTTGAAGGTCGTATGTGAATTGACAAAACTTAAAGTACAGGGTGATTCACCATACATGTCCCCCCTTCTAGCCCACTTATTATTTTACCGATTTTAAAATTTTTAAAATCGTCTAAATTGATTTTCTATATTTTTTTTCCGTTGCATGAGAAAATACAAGGTGCTCGAAACAAACGATCAACCGAGTACCACTTGATTTTTTTCAAACAGAACACCCTGTATTTCATTGTATTTTTAGATTCTCCCCGAGGAGCTGATTTCATTAATGTATCACACTTGGGGTCTAGCGGGAATGATTACAGGGATATAGGGTGTTCAAAATCGAGATGTTTCAACTTCAGTATTTTTTTGTGTCGAAACTATTCATTATTGATTAGTAATCAACTTCACTCAGCCAATGAGAGATTTATGGAAATTATTCATAATACTTGACAAAGTATGATTGAAGAACCTATTATATATCCCATTGCTGTTATGATATAGTTATTATGCATTCGAAGAACAATTTCCGGAAATCTAGACATATTGACGATGTTGGCAACGTCGTACTGGCACAGGGAATCGTATATTAACTCTGTGTGAATGTGGATTTTCAGAAAGTATGTCATAGGAATGGTGGAGGAGTCATGTTCCTCTTTAATTTATTTTTTCCTGAAGTGAAATTTGTTCTTACGAACAGAAGAAAATTACGTATCTATTATTTTTTTTCAAACTTCACAGTGAGATAAGAACCCCAATATCCCCATTCGCCGGTGTTCGAGCTTTATACTAAAAACATAAAAAATACCTTGATGAAACTTCACCTTTCACTATAACTTTGGATATCTATGTTGTTCTTGTAACTACCCTAATTGAATGATGTAATGTGCCTCAACCTTATTTTAAATTTAACTAGATATGAAATGTGAATACTAAACTGGATTTACAGTTTTCATGTGATGAATTATATAGCTTGAAGGGAATTTAATTGAATTAATAGTCATAATACATATTAAGTAGTTATATTTTTATGAAATATGAAAAATAAATCCAGAGAAAATGATTACCTTTCATGTAGTAATCACTAATCAGCGTGAATCAAATAATAAGAAAAGAACAATTAGCAAATATGAAATGATGTCAAGAAAATATAAATGCCAACAAAGATCATAAACCAAAAAAAATTAAGATAATATAACAAATTACTGTCGTAAACGTCTACACCTTACACAATTTCTTTGCAATCGTCTTTCTTCAACCGCTAGTTGCTTTTTCAACAATTTTATCTTCAAAATGTGTTCCACAAGAAACTTCTCTTTTTTTAGTTTAACAAAGTTCAGTTTTTCTTTATACAGTTCACATTTCAGATCGAAGACTCGTTTTGCTTTCTTCAGCTGTCCTCTTGTAGCTGAAATTGAAAAAATATTAAACATTTTTTGACAAGAAATTATGACTATTGATATTTCTAAACGAGTTGAAACAAGGATTACTCAATTTTCAGAGACTTTTATCATATTAGGATTTCAAATGGAAATGCGCAGTTCTGATGCTTAAGAACAACATACCAAGAATCAACACAGTGCTTGGCAATTTCTAAAAAGAAATAAAAGTTGAACATTTTTTATTGGAATGGTTTTTTCATATTTGCAACGGATGCCGAGTTTTATAGTAGGGAATTAATTAGAAAATGTATATTTTCATATTTTTATAAAATATTATCAAAACGGAGTCTGGAAAAATTTCCAGTTCTTCATCATACACCAATGTGAAGGAAAAGCGTCTCAATACGTTGTGGACGAATGCAGCCGGCGGCGATATTTTTCAGTAAGAAAATTACAGTCTCGATCACTTGTATATCCCTTCGTATAACTACGAAAATGACATTTCATATGCATTCTAGACTAGCATACGAAACCTTAATTTTTGTTAAAATACAAAGAGAAAAACGAAAATGCGGAATTAAATTTTCAAGTTAATCATTGAACAGAGGTTAACAGCCGAATCCGATCGTCTTTGAAAATTTTCAATAAACTTCCTTTATTGTGTCATTTATCGCCCTAATTTTTTTAAGCACCCTGCATATGATCATTATTGATAACTTTCCGCTTTCTAATATGGGCGAGGCCAAGTAGTGGAGGGGATGGTCTAAAAACCATACACTCCATCGCCCCTAGTAACTGAGTTGTATATGTATATTCATGTGTTCAAGTGAGTTTTCATTATACTTCTAATGAGTGAATATTTTTAAACTCACTTTGTAACTGGCCGCTTATTATAACACCCAGTTTCCTGAGAACCTCTTCATTATTTTTTTTGTCACCTGCTTTCTGATTACCGTCCACTTTGGAATTGGTAGTCTTGTCTCGACTAGTACTGGGTTGAGCAAGGTCTACAACTGAAAAATTATAAATATTATTGATATCATTAATATTTGATTTCAGTTATAAACTGTGTAGCTGCTAATGATTTATAGAAGGGATTGTATGTTCTCCTTATTTGCAGCATTACACACATAATAACATGTATCATGCTTTGAATAAGGAACCCTATAGGACATAGGAAATGGAAAGTGAGATATGGAAAGTAAACAAATTGTGAAGATGTCCTTATTGTCTCACAAATGTATCTCCGTCCGGTCTTTCTGTCAAGTTTGTTCTTTAATCGAAGTTATCTTGCAATATTCTTTATGCAAACACTGATAATAATAAGGAGAAAGAATACCAATCAACATTCTTGAAAAATAACTCTGATTGAACTTATAATAAAGTGAATCAGGGAATCATTCTCAACACTGGTGGAATAAAATAACACTTTCCACCCCGAAATTATTTTTCAGAAAGTCTACTTGCCCCATCCACAGCTTTGCAGATGATAGTACCCTCCATACTGCGTTCTCTTCCGGAATTCCCATTTCTTCCCAGGAAACTAAGAACTCACGGCGCAGGCAGGTCAATGCTGTCAATGAAGACCTTGCTGAAATCACAGCCTGGGGAACCAACAACCTAGTCGAATTTAACGCCACCAAAACTCAAGCCTGAATTTTCTCTAGAAAGGCGGAACTCAGTATGCCCGATATTGTAATGTCTGGCACCACCATCCCCACCAAGCACACCATATCTATGCTCGGTATTTCCATCAGCAACACTCTTTCATGGGATAATCATGTCAGATCCATCGCAATAGCTGCTTCACAAAAACTCAGATTCTTGTTCCTTGCGAAAAGCTACTTTACACCTCAACAGCTTCTCATGATCTACAAAGCGCAGATACGGCCTGTTCTAGAATATTGTTCCCACATATGGAGTTCAGCACCAAAACATACGCTGATGCTGTTAGATTTCATCCAGAGAAGAGCCATTCGCCTGGTGGGTGACGCCACACTCACTCACTCTTTCACATCATTGGAATACCGTAGAAAGGTCGGCGACCTTTCACTTTTCTATCGATACTTCCAAGGGAAATGTTCTTCGGAAATGTCTGCTATCATCCCTTCACTAGCAATACCAGTCAGACGAACTAGACAAGCCCAGTCAGCACATCATTTCGTTGTCAACCTCGAAAAATGTCGAACAGCACTTCATCAAAACTCCTTCATCCATAGAACGGCTAGGCTCTGGAATTCATTGCCTGAGGAAGTATTCCCAAGAACATATAATCTCCAGAAGTTCAAAAAAAATTCCAATACCTACCTCCTGCCCCTATCCTCCCTAGGAACGCACGATGTTCTCCGAACATTATAGGGTTTTCCTTTCATGCGCTCCAAGCGATAAAAAAAATAGTGCTCGTAGAAGAAACATTTTTCCAGCAAGTCAATGTAGTATAACCATGAAATAACGTATCGGATCAGATCCGCTCTGATCCGACTAAAATACCATATTTTATTCGGATCAGAACGGATAGAAGTATATTTCGTTAAAGTTAATCCTCCAATGTGATCCTTCTGATCTATTTGACATATTGTTAACTTCGTCGTTGCCGGTAAAACGAACTATTCGCCAGAAGAGGTTAACCAGAACGGTCAGATCTATAAAAACTGATGAGAATCTAGTAACAAAAAATGGCAGAGCGGGTTCCAGAAAGTGACGTCAAGCAGATTCCTGTTAAAAGTATTATCCAGCAGGTTCCTGAAAGTGTCATCAAAGTAAATCAGTGGCTAGTATATATACATAGGCGAATCTTAGAAGAGCAAAACTTCCAGAAAAATACACTAAAGAGAAGCAGAACGGAACATAAGAGAAAATAACACAGACATGACAAAGAAATCCAGCAAGGTAACTTTTGAGGAATCGTTGAGTTCATGTAGTTGAATTTCTAGGAATACGTCAATAATCACGATCCTATTGATCAAGATTCTAATGAATTATATGTCAACTTGACGGTTACAATAGAGATGAAGAGTTCAGATTTCCCGATTATCATGTTGAAAAAACAATTATCAGGCAAATACCAGAGGATTCACCCCACAATCAGTAATATTCAGTTAAATGGCCACACTTTATTAGTTAGTGGTGAAATTGTGTGGCTATTCCAATGAAGAACAAGTGTGAAGCAAAATAATCAATAATTGTTTTGATAAATATCATAAAATGGATAATAGTCTCGATATCTCTAGAATATTTTCTACTAAGATCACATTTGGATCACCCTGTAAAGTGAGAAAGTCGGTGTCCACACATACAAAATTCAAATGTATTCACCTGGATTCTTCTCTGCTAAACCTGGTCCCAATGAGCACATTAAATTATTATTCAATAATAATAAGCCATTAGGATTCAGCAACCCACTACTTTTCTCCACTGTGGTTACAGGAACTGAATCTTCTTCCATTTTTTTGTCTGGAATTATACGGTCTCAAATTATAAGCAATCAGACACATTATACAAGGCGTTACTCAATGTGTGAGGGAATCAACTCATAAGCAATCAGACCCATTATACAAGGCGTTACTCAATGTGTGGACAAATCTTCAAGGAATTATTGAGCGCCTAACAAATTTGGAAAAAATGTATGTACAGGGTGTTGAAGTTCGGATTAATAGATTTTTTATGATCGCCAGTACAAGCTTTTTAGCCTATGGTCGGCGACTTGACAAATTCTTAAAATTTCAAAATGATGGTATCCTGCGGTGTCTTGAGTGCACCCACATCAGAATGGGGCTAACATATTTGGTTGCCCACCAGATCGTGCAACTGACACGTGGGGACAAGGTTGGTAGAACTCCCATAAGACACAATGTTAGCTCGCCAATCGGCGCGTGTGATGTCACTGACGGACCTCGTTGGGATTGTGTAAATGGTGGTGAATTAGCTCTGTTCTGGCAAATATTATTTCGATAATTACAACAAACTGTGGTGTTCTGGTAGTTTTTAAGGCTTAAATTCTTGTTCAGGATAGACAAATTCTGTATGAAATAAAGGAAACCCAAACAGGCATTGATATATTACGCTACGCTTGATTTCACCTATTAGATTATGAGAGAATACGGAAACGGTGTTTCTGTTTATCTTGCTTAGAGAAACAGCGGAGAACGAATATATTTGTTTCCTAAGTGAGCGATCCGCCCACCTTTGTTTCGGCGGACTAGCTCCCTTAATTGAAAAATAAGGCCCCAGCAGACTTTCACTAGATTCACTAGACTTTTGTATCTAAGTATTTTGCTATGCCCACTACAGTTCTCCTATGTCCACATATTTCCAGTGCAGCAACCAAATCAGCACACCTGCAAACTTTGTTGATATGTAGGAAACAGTATGTGAAGAGGCTGGAAACGATTATATCATACGGATAACGGTCGTTATTCTTCTACAGTGCCATTCATACATTCATAACTGAAGGTAAAGTTCGTCTTTCGCATTACTCATATTATCTAATATTGAAATTTTAATGACAAGCATTAACGAATGAACTAACGAAAATAAGCACCAAATTGCTTGAATTTTCACCTGATTTATGCATCCAACCGTCATTGAATATAACGAGTAAGAAAGAGTTTACTACAACACAAGTTCAATAATACATTACAATAATACAATAATAATACTCGTTGAACAATCCAAATCCATCTATACCCTTTCAGGGTTTTATAGGGTGCAGAATGCCGCGTCATGAAATCCTCTTGAATTGCGGCACAATTCCTTTCAATATATACACATGTGTACAGTACAAGTTAAAAATAGGTAGAGGCGCCAATACAGGGGTTACAATCATATTAACCCTTTTATAGAAATGAGTAGCACAGCACTGGGTATTTTAGAGATAATCAGTAATCAGCTAAAATACTTATTGTATTCTGGAGAAGAAAGCTTCCTTGTGAAATTTTCACATGTTTGTGATTGATCTGTTTAAATTTTCCTTCATTATGCACGGACACTGACGAATTTTACTATAAATGAATCGAAAACATATGTCAAAACCTTCTCTCTTCTTAACAATTCGATTCAAAAACTCGTAGATATGAAAAATAATAATCTTTAAAGGTTATAATAGGTGTAGACTTATGTATGTTAATTTAAGTCTCTACATAGGTTTATAATTATAATATTGCATATGATTATCCGCTCTATCACATATTCACGCATATTCACAAGTAATAATGTGATTATATATATAGATATATATATATATCGACTAGTAAATAGTGAGGTTTTGCAGCAAGTAAAAGAGAACTCTTTGAAGATTATCCAAGCTTTCGGAATTTAATTGATTCCATCATCAGGGCATACTACAATAATTATTGTCAGTAATATTATAAAAGTGAAAATTAATTTGTACTTACATCTACGTGAGGATGATTACTATGATGTTAACAATAATTTTCAGAATTAACATCATAGTAATCATCCTCACGTAGATGTAAGTACAAATTAATTTTGACTTTTATAATATTACTGACAATAATTATTGTAGTATGCCCTGATGATGGAATCAATTAAATTCCGAAAGCTTGGATAATCTTCAAAGAGTTCTCTTTTACTTGCTGCAAAACCTCACTATTTACTAGTCGATACCTAACTAGTCAGCAACGACTACCCTTCTACTATATATATATATATATATATATATATAGAAAACTATGTTTTAGGAAAACAGCTAAATCTCTATTTTCCTTGAGGTTGCAGTCAAAGGGAATGGCCAATGTAGAGAAAAGACTCTTTGTTAAATTGTCGAGCTTTCGAAAAATTTTATTTTCATTATCAAGACATCTGAAAATACAAAGATCCATTATAAGCATGGTATCTTGTATGAAAAAATGAAACAACTTACTAACTTGAGTGGTTACATGGAAAACAGCTAATGCACATCATAGTAACTTTAAAACACTGCACTATTTTTGAGAACATATTAAAAATTATTAAAAAACATTACATTACAAGTCTTATAAGAACCTTACTGGTCCTGTGAAACTTTGTCAAGAAAATGAGCACATGGTGTTCGACCTTCACACGTTCCAAACGGAAATAGATGTGACGTTTAGAATTCAAAAATGTGGGAGGAGCTATGTCAAAGCCGAACGACGTGTGTTCACTGTTGACATAGCTCCTCCCACATTTTTGAATTCTAAACGTCACATCTATTTCCGTTTGGAACGTGTGAAGGTCGAACACCATGTGCTCATTTTCTTGACAAAGTTTCACAGGACCAGTAAGGTTCTTATAAGACTTGTAATGTAATGTTTTTTAATAATTTTTAATATGTTTTCAAAAATAGTGCAGTGTTTTAAAGTTACTATGATGTGCATTAGCTGTTTTCCATGTAACCACTCAAGTTAGTAAGTTGTTTCATTTTTTCATACAAGATACCATGCTTATAATGGATCTTTGTATTTTCAGATGTCTTGATAATGAAAATAAAATTTTTCGAAAGCTCGACAATTTAACAAAGAGTCTTTTCTCTACATTGGCCATTCCCTTTGACTGCAACCTCAAGGAAAATAGAGATTTAGCTGTTTTCCTAAAACATAGTTTTCTTCAACTAGTCCAGTCAGGAGACTACCCTTTCACTATATATATATATATATATATATAAACTTTACTTTGTTAGAAATACTTAGTAGGAATGAGATCAACGAGACAATCATTGTAGATTATTTCATGGATACCCTCGTACATCATTTCCTTTGTGGGCCACCTTGATCACTTTGTTTATTTTAATGCATGCATTTATATATGTTTATATGTGTGAATTAACGTTTATAACTGTGTGTGTGTATATATACTTCTACTTGGACAAGTTGATGTGTGAATATATTATATTAATTTAGCGCATCACTGATTTTCGTGATAATGTCAACGGGCATGCTACTTATTTATAGAAAAGGCCGAAAATTGATTCCTGTAACTATTTTTGACTTGGTATGGTCCTTGAATATGGACTAATAAAGTTTTTTTGAATTGAACTTTAACGTTGAGTATTCCTAATTGTGTCTCTATTACCTCTTCAAATTAATGTACACCAACTTTTTGATCCAAACAAGCAACATCCATTTTTACTGTATATCTTCTAGAATAAGCTCTCAGGTAACTCGGTGGTGAGTATTTGGGGAACCGTCCCTGTTAGATCATAGGTATATCTGTATGGAAATTTCCGATGCTGAAACAGAAGCCTATCGAAACCCGAGAGGTACGGACTGGGAGAAATTCCGAAAGGACTTAACCATAAACCTAGGAAACGTCAAGATGATCATCAGAAACGGCACTAATGTAGAGGTAGCGTCCTGTCAGCTGCAGGAGGCAATTATAACCTCATATCAGGACAACTGTCCTTTAGTTAGGTGTAACAGCAGCTAATACGTAAGCTGGTGGAATAAAGAGCATAATTCGCTAAGAAAAGAAACACGCAAACTTTTCAATGAGGCGAAGAAAACTGGGGAGTGGAGGCAGTATTCCATCACTCTGACCAATTATAATAAACAGATCCGTAGGGCGAAAAGGGAATCGTGGAGGCGTTTCTGTGGAGGAAACAACCTCAGAAGCAGCACACCTCCATCGAATCCTGGCCAAGGAACCTGTAAATCCTATTGGGAATATAATGAATCCTGACGGAAAATATACTGAAACTGGCAGGGAAATTCTGGAGATTTTACTTCAGGCTCATTTATCAGATTCGGTAAAAATTGAAAACGATAGTCTTGCCAGACCCACTAAACCCTCACCTGAGGGCTGCCGTGGGGGACTCGTCATTATCGAAGAAGATTGTTGACTACAGTAAATAGATGTGGCTTATAGAAACTTTGAAATCCTACAAAGCGCCGGGACCGGACGGAATAATCCCTGCAATGCTACAGGAGGGTTAAGTCCAGCTGGCTCCAGTTATTTGTGGGTTATTGAGAGCATGTCTGGCAACAGGTTACATTCCGGTTGAAATGGAAGAGAGCGAGGATCGTCTTCATCCCAAAGCCTGGAAGATATTACTCTCAGGCTAAGGCGTTCAGGCCGATAACTGTATCATCATTCATGTTGAAGATAATGGAGAGGCTACTTGAGATGGAAAACTTTCTCATTGAAAGTGGACATAAAAACCAGCATGCATATCAATCGGTAAAATCGTGTGACACGGCTCTTCATCAACTGGTGGTGAACATTGAAGTCGCAATAAGCAACAAGAACATAACTCTTGCGGCCTTCCTGGATATTGAAGGGGCATTTCATCATACACCCTTCATATCTATGGTAGCAGCGGTTGTTGGGTGTGGAGTGGAATACACTACATATCGGTGGATAAAAAAACAATAAAACAGCGGAATTTTTATTGCTTGGCGAAACCATGGAGGTGACAATTTCTTGGGGTTGCCCACAGGGAGGAGTTATTTCTCCCCTGTTGTGAGATCTGGTTATTGACGAACTCCTGGAAAAACTAAACAATGTAAGAATTTACTCACAAGGATATGCAGATGATGACGTCATTCTTGTAGAGGGGCAACATCCTGAAATTATTTCACAGTGAATGTGAACATTTCGCGCTTCATTATTCATCTTGCCGATGTAAGTTGTAAGCTGCCAAGAACAACAAGGTTTGCCAACTACTACAAAGTTGTGGTAAGCAGACCAACAGCAGGTTAAATATATTTTAGTTAAAATGGTTTTATTGTTTTATTTCAAACATCAACACTTGATAAACATTCACTAGTTTTCAGTTTTCGCGAGTTTTCGATAGCCCCACGTTCGGCGCCGATTATAACCGACTGGGTACGTGGGTTATCTGTTATTAACACAAAGGGCAATGAGATGATTAATGAAATGAAACTTGGGCTAAGTGGAATATTTATTGCGAACGAAACGACAATAATTCAGATGCTAATAAAAGGCAAAACGAAACAAAATGCAATGATTGCGTCTAAACCAAATTGACAGTGTAGGTTATGAGCCCATGTATTAAAAATTCTTCTACTCACCTTCAGTCTGTAGGATAGTGTCAGGATAAGCGCCTTTCTTCAAAAATATTTCATTTTCATAGCTTTGAAATTTCATTTCTTCACTGAAATGTGAATCACATACTCGAAACATATCCCTCCTTTCAAATGTTATGTCAGTACTATTCACTGATTTGATCCATATGTTGAACAACTGGAAAAAATACCTTAATTTTTCAAAAATTCCAAAATATAATGATACATTTTTCTGCAAACACCTCTGAAGTTACCGTCTTCAATTACGAAATCTGACATTAAAGCTCCACCTCGAGTCTGAGGACAAAAACAGCTCTTTATTTAACAAGTTGAAAAATGAGCATGTATATAGGAGATCATCAAATGACACAAAATGACACATTGGAATAACATAGATAACCGGTTTCTCTAGCATTCGCAATCGAGTAAGCGTGTTTTTGACATTTTGAATTAATTGCATGATGAAATTTCATATTGCCACTAGTGTTTATACAGGGTGTTTCCGAAATTGGGGCGATCAATGAAATGGATGATAGGAGACGAAAAAATGAAGGAATCCATTTTGCCGGAAAATATATTTGGGAAGATATTGAGCATTTAAGCATCAAAGTTTGCATGAAATTTGTGTAGATCATTGATCAGAGGTTAATAGCCCATCTCAAGCATTTGCTTTCGGCGAGATCACAAGCACCGAAAGTATCAGTGTATTTTGCAGTGTTGCCGGACGTTCAATAATAGTTGAAAGATGTAATTATGGTGGAATCGCACATTTTGTGGAAAATTTTCGAAATAATTTCTTCTTGTGATTTATCCTGTCATTATGTCTCATAGACCACCCCATTTTAATAATCGCCTCATTTTCAGAAACACCCTGTATAAGATCTCATGTTCTATATTGGCACGATTTCGTTATCTAAACTGAGCCATATTAAACCGGAATTATAAAAGTTCCTCAATCATTCCTGAAGGAGCTAGAAGTGATACCTACTCTTGTATCAACCTCATCATACTTATTTATTCTTCCTTGTCAGTTTTTATCAAATGGTAAAATTATACGCCAATTCATGTCAAGTGATTTTATTTGAAACGGCCAACCCTTTATAATATTTGATACCAAGATAAAAAGACAAAAGCACGCCTATTACTTAAAGATGTGCACGATTAGGAATTAACACTTGCTTAAATTGAGTTATGGATTTTTTCAATTGCACACCATGTCAAAATTTCCGAATTCAACTGGTCAGTACTCTGTCACTAAATAAACTGACTCCGCTGAAAATCTGTTTTCCGAAATATAAAATCAAGAATACAGTGCTATAATTCAAAACATGTTTTCATCGTTTTCATCAGTAATCAGCAGCGGTTGATCAGCTGGTGAACTTTGTCAGTTTTCAGGTTGTCACTCATGTATAGTTTTTCGTTCATCTGAACTAGATATTATTCTCAGCGTTAATGGGCGAGTGGATTGATAATGAATTATTGGCATTCAATAATTACTCCACTGTATCGTTAGGAACCCAAATTCTATCTCACCCCTGCTGAGGTGGAAAATTCAACCGTCAGGAAAATTCTAGGCTTCATCAGAAGTCTAGGGTTAGAGGACCAAAACTAGATAAGGGTAATCACAATAGATCTTCTAGGTCGCAGTGATCGAGAGATCTCCCAGCCTATACGACCCATCTACAATCTACAATCTAGGAACCCAAATCAATTTTTGCAACACTTCTCACGCTTTCTTATGTAAATAATAAGTTTATGCGTTGTTCGAAGTCGTTGAATTTCAAAGTTCATTTCAAACGTAACGTCATGGCTGCCATTTGGCGATACGTCAAATAAATATATAGTGACGTCAGTTTTTATGCTGTTTCGTTATTGGTCAGATAATCTTTCATTTTCACTCATGAAGCAAGAAGCAAGGTTTTCAAGTCACCAATTATAATCAAGTTATCAATAAGATGTTAGAGTCCTGTCGTTGAATAAAACATAATAGGAGGATCTCATGACATTATACTTCATTCTTGACTTTTTAGAGCTACCAGCATGTCCGAATATTTCTTATTCTCTATTACAAAATATTATGTGAATGTTGGAGAGTTGGCAACATTGTTCTGAATGCTGACAACTGGCAAGACGAAGACAAGAAGAAATATATTCGCGTTCAAAGTTTCTATTTGCTCGATGAGTGCGTGACAGAGAAAAAAGTTTCGATATTGCAGTCACACCCAATGAGCATATGGAAATTTCGATCCCAAATATCTTCTCGATCATTTGAAATAGCCCTATCAATCTCGGTATCGTTGAATTCGTCATAATAATCCCTAACCGATTATAGTAGAATAGGATACAGGGTGTTCCATTTAAAAAATCAAAAGTTAGGGTCGTGGCCGGTAATACCGGAAGTGATATAACAAAAACTGTTTTGTCAATAAATGGGCAATTTGGTATACTTGCTACCCACCCATTTTCAAAATCCGATCTCAAATGATTCAGAAGATACAGCACTGGCCGTATTTTGTGCACTTCTCTGTATGTATAATAAATATGGAAATTAAAGAAATGAAATGAAAATTGGGCGTTTCTGGAATGTTTTCTCAAATGTTTAAATTGAGCTAACAAAAGTTATCCATCCCCTTTCATATTTCGTACTTCCAAAGTAAATCTGAAAACTATCATTGTTTCAGTAAAAAAATCTACAATTAGGCGTTTCAGGAATAGGTTTCTTTGTCACCATGTGTTTAAAACAAACTGAAAAATTATTTCCACCTTATTTTAATAATATTTTCTACCATATCTACCCTTCTGTCAGTTAAAGACACAGAAAAATCTATACTCTGACGTTTCTGGAAATGTCTTTCCCACCGCATTATTAAAATGAAATGAAAGAACCTATCTTCCCCATTTCATATACTGTACCCCTATAATATACAACTTGGAAACAACCATTGTTTCAGTTGACGTTACAGAAAAATCTATAGTATGGTAAGCACCTAAGTGACAAAAATGGAAAAGAATTTTGAAAAATTACAAGACTGATCACAAATGCAAGCTGATAAGATACTTCTTGATTGCCTTTTACATATTTGGGTATGATTCTCTAGATTGAGCTAATCAAACAAGATTTTTCTGTTTCCGTTCATGATACAATCTTATTTTTGGAGTCATCCAGCAACGAATGAGATCTTCAAAGGCAGGGCGCATAGAAACGATGTCATAAGTATCTAGCCCAAATTGAATTAGAAGTGAAAATACTGATAATTTAATGATACATTCTACAGTAATGAATGGAAGACAATTCATTGAACAGGATCAGATAGTTGTCTCATTTTGCAGCATCCATTTCACCACTCTTACATCATCTTATTGAAAAAATGAAAATTCCACTCTCTTATCAAACTTGAATCACATTGATTTTGACCTGATTGTGTTCATGAAAGTATTTTAAACATATTTCAAAAGAAAAACCAATCAAATATTCATTGTCAGAGCTCTAACTTGGAGTTTGAATTATCTTGTTGAGAGGGTGGAAGAGGGGTGGACGAGGGGTGGAATGGATGCTATCAAATTAGACAACTACATTTCATTAGACAATCTGATATTGTTCAGTAAAGTGTTTTCGGAGGGGTAATAAGTGCAGTATAATTCTGGTCTACAAACAACTGGAATTAACTGGAATTCTTGGGAATTCCTTGAGTGAAGTTCTGTATAATTCTGGTGTACAAAAGTCTAATTCCCTGGAATCACTTGGATTTTCTTGGAATTTCTTGGATCTTCTTGGATTTCCTTGGAATTTCTTTTGATTTCTTTGGAATTCCTTGGATTTCCTTTGAATACCTTGGATTACCTAAATTTCCAGGGGTGAAGTTCGGTATAATTCTGGTCTGGTTCCAGGAAATTCCTTGGATATCCCTGGAATTGTTTGGAGTTCTATGAAATTCCCTGGAATTCCTTGTGTGATGTGCAGTATAATTCTGGTATACAAACAGCTGAATTCCTTGTGAAATTGAAGTTTGGTGTATACAATTTTGACCGCGGTTTACCCCTTGGTGTTTTCTATCAATTACAGTAGAATAAATCATTCAATTCATAGTATTTTCATTTTTATTTTGATTTGACCAATTAAGTTTTATCTACACCAACTCTCTGTGATGTATTTGGATCAACTTCTAGTTTCATTAATTCTTATAGGTATCTATTATTCCTCAATTTTAATAGGGATTAATCACTGTTCAATTCTAGTTCTTCTCCTCTTGACATACTAAAGTAGATTTTATTTGTTTCCTTTTATATTCCAATCAAATGGTATATTCACATGGAAAAAATTCAAGTATATATATATATATATATCTTTTTTGATGTGAAGTTTGCAAACAAAATTTCCTGGAACCTTCCAAAATATGTATTCGCAAAAACAGCAAAATGTTCGCAATTTTTTCAGTTTTTTGCCTGTAAGTCGGAAACTATACAATTCATCAACAAGACAATTCTATAGATAGTTGAAGTAGATGAAATTTTTAATATATAATTGTTCTTGCTCATTAATGATAATTCATATTTTACGCATTTCTGGAATAAACGAACTTTACCATCTGATGTGGAAAAGCTCTGCCCTGTAAAATGTGCTGTCAAAGTATCCCTCTCTGCAGCTATGTCAAGGGGTGAATCATGGGCCAATTTCAGGTACACTAGACTTTCTTTGTCAAAAGAATTCCTAGAGTTCCTAGGACTACCCAAGGAATTCCTGGGACTACCCAATGAATTACCGGACTTCTCAAGGAATTCCTGGAATTCCCATAGACTACCCGGACTTCCTACGTGAATTACCCCTGGAGCTATGACTACTACAGTTGTTGAAGAATGCTTTTTTTCAAATAACTATACCAAAGCCGTCTCATCAGTCTGCTCAGGAATAAATGGAAGAGTGCAGTATGGTATCATGCAAAGCAGAGGACAACAGGGACTGACTTATAGTTACAACAGCCATTTTATTGGCAGAAGGGAAAACAGGTTATAATTTTTGTAGGCAAGGCAGTCAACCTTATGGTCCTCTCAATTGGTTACAGGCTCTGTTCAAGATATATTTTTTTGAACCTGAAATAGAGGGAGTACCCAACAAGCTGTACCATCCAAGCAACACCCACAATCATCACCATCAGCACATATTCCTTGTGAGTGTGAAACAATGTTTGCTAGCCTTATTGGGGCCTAGGAAAAACAAAAGCCCTGAAGATGCTCAACAAGCTTCTTGAAACCACCTCAGAGTATTTGATGACCCTGAGGCAGATTAGAGGGATCTCATGAGGGCTGGAGAAATGTTTTAGGCAGTATTTTACTTGTCTCAGGAACAGGATCAACCCCAAAGCCCAAGCTGAAGCCATTGTTTGATATGAGAGATGTTCAAGACAATTGTTAATAAAACTACAGCAACATGGTGCAGTATGATCTGGGGGATGACCCTAATGTTGATGATGTGGTATCCATCACAACATCACTTAAGAGGTTTACCTTTATCTACTCTCAACATTTACTCTCGCATTACTACAATCACACTTCCCTATAGTCATACTTGAACCAATCCCCCAGGTAAGTTACCTTCTTACTTATAGTGATGTTTATGCAGTTCTCTTCCAGACCACCAGATAGAGGATGAGGGTACCCTGCAGCAGAAATATTGAGAGAAATATCTAAACACAACAACTATATTTTTAGTGTACAAAGAAATCAATCTCAAATGTCTCTCTCACCCCACAGGATACAAAAACAAAAGAATAAATGAAATAAAATATAGTGGCAAGGATGAACTTGAGTGTGGAAACTATGATGAAAATATGTTTCCAAGTCCAAGTGCTCTAACTGCCATTCACTTTAGCTCTATAAGAAATTAGAAGCCCTTTTAATTTGTGCATAATGCATTCTTTAAAGTAAATACATAGGATATGAATTGTCTGTGAAAACCAATGAAGAATGCTATTTTTTGCAAATTATGCAAATAAGGTCAATTTTTAACTTGCTCTAGCTCATCACCTGTTAGCCCTACATTCATGAGCAAGAATTATCTAAGAATTTCATCTACTCCCACTTTCTATATGGTGGTCTTCTTGATAAGATATATAGATGCCGAGTTAGGGGCAAAAAGCAAAAAACCAGAGAAACCAACTAATTATTTTTCACAAGAGGATTCTCTTCCTTACTGTTTTTACCAAGGTTTTTACTGAGCTTTCATTATGGCTGCTCTTGTGATATTTTTTAAGTACCATTGGGAAACCATGATATTTATTTTGAAGGGAGAACCAAGGAGAGAATATATGAATACTGTGAATCATCAGGACAGGACATCAGAGCTTTAGAAACTAGTAAAGCTGGAAGGCTCTTACATTCTGACTTGCAATATTTTCATATTTGAAATCCTTGGAAACTGGCGTTTTCATAGTTTATAAATAATTACCTCAATATCACTAGGAAATCTATGAACTATTGCATTGTTAACACACTTAGGCACACAACAAAGAATGTTCATTTTGGGTATAGTTCCTTTGATAATTCCACAAAATTCAAATAAATGACGATCAACTGACACAGTTCCTTTACTTGAATAGATCAAATCTCTTGAGAGAAATTCATAGGTATTATGTGAAACTAAAAACCAATATCTTGATCTAAAAATTATAAGTTCTTGAATTCTTCCAAAATAAAGTCGACGACAACAATACCCATAACCTATTTTGATATGAAATCAGAAATCAACAAAGCAAAGTGTCAACTGCGTCAAATCAATCGATCAAACAACAACAAACAAGGAACAAAATTCAGAAGCACTGTCAAAAGTCAAGAACACACGAGTGTCTGCAGCCAGCTCCCGCAAACCACATTCAATGTTCTGGCTTCCAAACTAATAACGTACTGCATAAAAAAGTAGACGTTCTCTAATCAATTCAGCTTTAAAAACTCGGCCAGAACGAGCACTTTTATGCAGTTTTGCGGGCGTACAGTTAAAGTTCAGCACCCGCGGGCCAATTAGGTGCACTTTATCGCCCGCTGTTATCGTATTGCTTCTATCCACATTTATATCATTTTATGAAATACCTATATATATTTGATGAACTATGAAAATCATCCATTCTCAAAGAGGCCCCACAGTATTCATAAATGAAAGAAAAGACCCCAGGTCGGTCGACCACACTATATATCAAAAAATGTTTAAATTAGAAAAGGACCGGTTTCGGCACAACGGCCATCATCAGACTAAATAAGACCTGTTATGGGTCATGAAAACAAACAATGTGAATACTCAAAGGTATAATTATTCTAGATCACAGCTGAATAGGTAAATCCAGAGATTATACAATCTAATTCATGAATGACACCTTGCGGAGTTATCCGCTAGTATATCTTTTGGGAATTGACCTGGTAACAAGATTACTGTAAAAGTACAGCACGTTCGAGGTACGCGTGGTACAGTTCGTCGCACGGCTAAGTGGTGGCGTTAGCAGGTCAAGAAGAACCTTGTGGAAACAAAATAATGAAATTACCAAATTACTGGAGATGAAATCGAACCGCATATTATGTTTCCAATGGCAAGAAAAACAAATCAAATAATAATATATTCCATTTCCATGGAATACATAAATGATGAGGTTGTTCCACTAAACTTTGAAGTTATTTAATAAAGAGTCGTTTATGCCTCTTCTCAATTTCTCATTTGCGCTTGAGCCTTTTTTAAAGGCGATTACAAAAGTTGAGTTATTTTCATTTCCATTTAATGTCGTTGATAGTCCTTTATTTACGACTGCTTGTTTATTATGCAATGGAATAAAACGTGGTGGTTTGCGACTCTGAGAAAATCAATAATGATATACATAATTGTTAAAATGTTAAAACTTCAAAAAATACAACCTATGTACAATTGTACACTGTAGTGAAACATAATATCGACGTTTTCATGACGAAAGGACGTAGGCGCCAAAATTTCAGAAAACTGTTTTTTATGCGGATTGGATGATATTTGCTCAAAATCGTGTCTATCTATATCCAATGGTGCGAATAAGGGTTCAAGCGACAAAAATTCTAACCACGAGTAATATTTGGCTTTGATATTGGGTTTTCTAAGCGACAAGAATATGTACCTGTTTAGCATATCGACTCGGTCGGCATCGAAATTTTCACGTGAAAAATCAATTTATTTGATAATAGTGTTGGTTACGCCCTTTTACATTTTTAATTTCTAGGTCGGCGTAAGCGCCATCTCCTTATACCGCGAGCATGGGTATTCAAAACTTTTTTTAATGAGAAAAGTGAAAATAATTCGAATAAATATGGTAGGTACCAACTTTTAGGACTGACTCTTGATTCTTTCTGAATGTATCTGTGAGTTTTGGTTTCTGCTTTAGTCGCTTACGCCTCTGATTTCTTTTTCAATTCTTACCTTTTCGACGTCGTCATGACGAAAGGGCATAAGCGACATAATATGGTAAATTATACAGGCGAAAAAAACATTTCAGTATTATATAAATAGTTTAACTATAGTCAACAATTTTCGCATGAACATTCCACTAATATTAATATATGTCCGTTTTAATAATGGAAAAAAAGGAATATCGAAAGGAACTTGAAGTTTTGGAGTTAATTGATAAAATGTCGTTTACACAATTTTTCAATTCTTCAGTGGCGCTCAAGCCTTTACCAAAAGCGCTTAAGTTTAAGTTATTTTCATTCCCATTAGATTATTCGAATGAAAGTATATTATGCAATGAACTAAAACATGATGGTTACGACACAGAGAAAATTAATAACTATTATTGTTGAATCTTGAAAAAACACAACATGAAACTGTAGCGAAACATTTTTTGAATTGACTCGGCCGTTACTTGATGGAAATCCATGGCAAATGTAAAAACTTCACAAACGATAAAATTTCCACAAAATTCTTAAACCACACAACATGTTTCGCTAACACGGTAGCTTCGTCAGGTTCATTGTACCAGTATATCAAGTGGTATTACAGATATTCAAAAAAAACTATTCAATTCTGAGAAATTTACCACCCTGTATCTCAAAAATTAGGATGTTTTGGTCATATGTTCATATGAAATGTTCTTCTTAACCCTTTGTGGCCCAAATTATTTTTTTTCGAAAAAATCGATTTTGAGGTCAAAATTATACTCTATATATATCAATTGAACGACTTCCTGATGAAAAAAAAATTATAGCACACAAAGATTTGACAGAATCAGGTGGTTCCATTAAGGCATCACTGGGGAAATAATGGTAATATTTCAGTAATTGTTGAAAATTTATTTTGCCAGAAGAAACATAATGTTATGAAGAGTTATGAGTAATTTTTTATGGAATGATTCGAAACAGTTTTCAATACTCATAAGACATAGTCCAATGTTACACGAAGAGCAGTGCCATCTAGATTTATGCAGTTCTTTCTTCGAACTACAGTTGGCGCATCTGACCTTATTGCTATGGATTGGCATGTGCGCGGCCGTACTTATACGTTGTTCTAAGGCAACATATAACTCATATTTTGTTGACAATGAGACCAAGGCCCTTTCTGCCTCTCTGGGGAGTTGCGGGATCCGCTCCAATCAGCCCATTCGCAACAGCAAGCCTGACTTCTTTGCTTAGAAAATGTACAGGTTTATTATCTTTCCATTTGAGAGCATCAGTTATTCCAGTGTCAGTAATTCTCCAATCCTAATCACCCCTCTTCATACATTTATCATCTGACAAATTCTTTGGAAACCATTTCCTATCTTTTCGTGCAGTACCGCAACTATAAATTTTGTATTTCTGCAGATTTCTTTGTAACAAAACAGGATTGAAAAAATTGTCCATGTGAACTGATTGAACGGATTCATCACCCCATGGAATTTTCTCCAATAAGGTGAAAAGATCATCTACTGGTGATTTGTTCAGTTCAGAAATATCGAATGATCTGCCTGAAGTACAAGAAATATTATAGAAGTGTACTACAAAAAATATTATAGGAGTGTACTGGTGGTCCCGCATGGGACCACCTCACAAAACTACCAGAAATCAAGTGAAAAATTGCAAAATTCAGCAAACTGATGTAGGAGTATGTTCATGTACATTGAAACTAACAAAAATAACCATTTACATACCTGCCATATCATCAAACTCAGCCAGAGAACGCAAATCAAATGACTCCGTGCTAATGCACTGTGGACATAAACATCCAGAATTATAAACATTCAACTACAAATGGCAAATCAGGATTGGAACTGCACTCAGTGTGACCACCTACCCCCACTACTCAGCATGTGGAAATGTGTTCCCAGTTGAAGCTTACTTGTCCGCAAGGAAAAAATCATTTGATAGGTGGTTCCACAGTGGAACCACTGGCACACAAAGGGTTAAAATGGGCCCAAGAATCGCCCCCTCAAATATTGACATTCAATTAGGATATATTAATGAATACTATTCATTTTTGAGAACTTTACCACCCTGTATCTTAAAAGTTGAGACGTTTAGGTCATACTTCATTTGGAATTTTATTCTTGAAATTGGCCAAGAATCTTCTCTTCAAATATTGTCATTCAATTAGGAAACACCCTGTATACAGTGAAAATTAGAATGCCATACTTGAGTAGCAGATTCTTACATAAGTCGAAAAATGGCTCCCAAGGGACCTACGGCCTCCTTGAAGGGGGCTCCTGAAGATGATATTACCTGAATATTTTCAAAACGTGATAAAATGATGCAATCTGGTACAAGAACTAAACTTTCTATGTCGAATGCAGTGAAAATGATATCATTCCAAAATTTCATTCAGGAGTGTTTACTTTACGGTGGGACTACATTAAATATTGCTCAAACTTTTTTGTATGCATATTCTTCAACAATTCTATCTCGGATTATCAAAATCCACACCGATTTACAGAAGAAAAGGTGTTCTTGTTCCGTATCGATCAGATGTATCATTGTCGAGTAGAATCGAGTCAAAAATATTATTACACCCATCTTATGCATGACGTTGCAAAATTTCAAATCATATACCGGAAATTAGCCTGCCATACTTCAACAGCAGATTTTCCGATCAAAAATAAGAAAAAAGTTCCTATCAACTATACTATTCATAGTAGGTACATGTATGCCAAATTTCATCAGAATGTCCAAAGTGGTATTGCAGATATTAAAAAAACTATTCAATTTTGAGAAATTTAACACCCTGTATCTCAAAAATTATGAAATCATATGAAATGTTCTTCTTAAAATGGACCCAAGAATCGCCCCAAATATTGACATTCATTTAGGAAACACCCTGTATATATACACTGTTGATGGGTTATGTTGTGCTAGTTCTGAATAATAATAAGCCAATAACACCGTTTCCGAGAAAGAACTGCAAGACTTTGATTACTTCGAAAGGATGATAATTCCCGTTGAAAACTCCAAACTTCACATCGATAATTTTCTGATTTTAATACAGGTTGTCCCATTGAGAAACGGAAAAACTTCAACGGTGGGTATAGAGCTTATCAAGGTGATTCTGAATATACCATATTCG